CATCCGATCAAATGCATTTTTTAGATCATCAAGATGGCAATCAAAATTAGATGACTTGATGATTACATCATCGATATAAACTTCCATGGACTTACCGATGAGATCGTGAAAGATTGACTTCATGGCCCTTTGATAGGTTGCCGCGGCATTCTTCAATCCGAACAACATTACTGCCCATTCATAAATTCCCAAGGCCCCTGGACATCTGGAAGCTGTCTTGTGAATATCTTCTTCTGCCAAGAAAATTTGATTATACCCCACATAGCCATCCATAAGACTAAGGATTTTGTGTCATGGCGCTGAGTCAATTAACATATCGGCCATAGGCATCACATACTCGTCTTTGGGAGTTGCCAAATAAGATCCCGAAAATCAATACATATTCTAATTTTTCTGTTCCTTTTGGTTACCGGTACGATGTTTGCCAACCATTCTGCGTAACGGCAAGGCCTAATAAAACCAACTTTGAGGAGTTTCTGGATCTCTTCCTTGATTTGAGGCATTAGGTCTGGGCTCATCCAACGTGGGGGTTGTTTGTAGGGCTTAAATCCTTCTCTGATAGGCAACCGATGCTCTACTAGACTCCGCTCCAAACTGGACATTTCTGAATAATCCCAAGCCAGACAATCGATATATCCCTAATGACTTCGAGCATCCTTGCTTGTTGTTCTCCGGATAAGCAACCACTTATTCTAACCATTCTTGGAACCAAATCGGTTCCTATATTGAATTCAATTAGAGGTTCTTGAGCTGAAAAGGTAGGCTCAGTTTTTTCTAACAAATCTGGCCATCGGAATTGTTCATCTTTATAGTGAACATCAAACATTTTTTTAGTTTTCTCTACCTTTTTCAATAGTTGTTCTAAATAATATTGATTAATAAGTACTCTACAATATTCTATACTTGTGCTACCCATTAGAATATTTATAAACGAAATTTGGCTATCTTACGAGCCATGAAAGACGCATGTTCTTTCAGAAGAACATTGAATTCTGAATAGTGAATTTGTAACCCTTTCTTGGGTTTTCACTCATCAGTACTGCCTGAGACATTGGAGGTAAGTGGTCTGAGTAAAATACTGATTCTTCAACCCTCTCTGAGGCACAAAAAAGGGTTATCATTTGTTTCCATCTTAAAGACCTGGTTATCATTAGTTGTTGTTGTAAGGATAATGGTACACATTGAGATGTATGTATTCAATCCCGTCCCGATAGAACTGAATACGTGGTATTTGCATCGACCACAAAAAACACGGTAGAAATTGTCTTTGACCCATCTTCAATCAGAGCTACAATCATACTTTCCGGCTTTGTTGGTTGTCCTGTGAAACTAGTCATCTCGAAATTCACGGGAGATAAATCGTGACTTTCTTTTCCTAACTTCTTAAGAGTTTTCAAAGGCATAACATTGAAAATTGCTCCGTTGTCTATGAAAAACTTAGTAACTGGTTTCCCGCAAACATGTGCGTTAACATAAAGAGGCTTCAAATAAGGAGTTGTTCCTTCTGGAATAGGAGAAAAAACTATAGGGGGAATCTCTGTCTGAAAATTGGGGTATGATAATCAGCCCATTCTGGTTCCTCCAAGGAACCATTCACTAAACTTGCCCACAAAGGTTTTTCTTCAACCCAATGTACTTCTGTCATTCGACATTGGACTCGTGCGCCTATGCGAGATTTGATAGACCTTGGCTTAGGTTCTGTCGGCTGTAACTCCTCCCCTAACCAATTCCCGGACCGAATCCTTCGATGTCCTAAACGAAATTCCTCAAAATTTTGATCAACATTGATCCGCTTACAATACTGACATCTGAAACATTCGGCCTTCTCGTTAAGATTTTCCTCTTTATTCTTTTGTATGGATCGGCTTCTCTACTGATTATCGAAGACTACTTGAATATCAGCCGGCTATTTTGGTGCAGAAGATTACCCTTTTCCTTTTTTCCCATATATCACAGCGTATCTGCGCTTGGCATTACGAATTTGAGTACGATTCATACCTGAAAACCGAGGGTCGATGTCAATCGGTAAAGGTTTACGATTCCGAGCCTACTTGTCTCTGACTAAACCAATCCTTCGAGTGGGATGATCCCGAACCATCATATGTTCCTCAATTTCTACGTCGAAAGAGCCATCCTAATTATCCCACTTTTCTGCTACCGGTTTTTCACCAACCTTGAACTTTCCTTCTCGATGTCTCTTTGATTGATGTATTTTTATTGATTTAGGGTTTGCCAAAGCATCCATCATTTCCATCGTAGCCTTTGGAAATGGTTGTTGCTCGACTTCTAAAGTAACATATTTGAGTCGCCCTGTCTTGATGGCCCTTTGAATTTATTTTCGAAAATGCGTACATTGATTCGTATTATGAGTAAAATAATTATGTCACTTACAATATGGTCTTCCTTTGATCTCCTTTTTAGTGGCTAGTCGTTGGCCTTTCGGAATACAAATTTATCCATCTGTCAGTAGAATATCAAAGATTTCATCGGCTTTAGAACTATCAAATGTAGGTTGATCCCTCCTTTCAGTTCCTGGCAATGGGCTTTAACTTTGGGCACAGATACAGTTTTCTAGAGATAATCTCAGCCGTCATTTCTTCCATTTCATCAACATCAGGACTGTATGGTTCTGTTTCCATGCTGGCCATTTGCTGAACTTTGTTGCGCCTGAAATTTTGATCATTTTCTTTAAAAGGGACTTCAAATGCCCTGCCTTAGATGCAAGACTTGTTAAATCTTCCACATCATGTGTTGTAAGTGCCTTTCTCAGGCGTAAATGCATATTTCTGACAACCAAGTTGGTCATCTCTTTCTCATCAATAGCAGTAGGACATCGCCCCTTCATTAAACGCACCATTTCGATGAATTGTGCGGCTGATTCTTCTGGTACTTGCTTCATCTCCAGCAAATCAGTGAGGGATATTGTTGGTAGTGGATTGAAAATCTGGTATGGAATGCCATTTCCAATCCCTCCCAGGTTTGTATTTGCCCCGGTGATAGGTTGACAAACCAAAAAAATGTTGTCCTAGTGACAAATAACTGCAACTTGTAAAAAGGATTATTACTAATCCTCCCTAATTGTGCTGTGAAACGACCTATGTGCTCGATAGTAGAAGATCCGTCTTCTCCTGAAAAAGCATGAAATTCGGGCGGTAGATAATTCCTTAGAAGGGGATATTCGTTGACAATCCTTTCTGGAAAGAGTCTTTGATAGGCAGGGCGATTAGCCACGTGAGGATTCATAACGAAATGAACCATCAAGACATGCGCGTTTCCTTCGGGATCCAACCGGAAAGGTTGATGATCAAGGACATGAATAGGATCATATATATGCCCTCATTGTCTTTCTTTTTCTTGGAACGTTTGGTTGAATATTCTCAACCCTTAGTCCCAAAGGAACATTGTTTGGAAATGTTAGAGGGCTCTTTCCTCTTTCTGTTCGGTTGGGAGCCGTAGCACTAGGGATCGTACTATCAACGTATGACGGCCCTGCAAATGTTGGCCCTGCAAAAGTTGCCTGGAAATGCGAAGGCAACAATGTTGGGGGCGTGTTTGAATGCAACGTAACCCTTGACAAAGCCTGGTCCAGCATATTCTGCATTAAATTATGTTGATCATGCAACATTGTTTGTATGGTTGTCATCTGTTGATTGTTCATTTGCTGAACATAAATTAACCATTCAGGCTGCACTTAAGGCGTTCCCCCCGTAGTTGAAACGGATGTTGCCGAATTTGAAGTTACAGCGGAGACTCTGACACCGGTGGTAGTGGTTTGAGATTGAGAGCCTGCCATAATGTTTCTGCTAATGATCCGACCGGACCGCAAATGTATGAAGCCTTCGTTAAAAGTAGAATCAGCAATCTTATTTCTTCTCCCACTGTGGTCGCCAATTTATTGAAGATATTTCCAACAATACAAAGTAAAATTCGAGAAATACTATCGAATTTGTGTAATAAATATATACATAAGCTTTTCAATGCGTTAAAGTAATAAGCAAATAAGTAAAGGGTGATCCCCAACAGGAAATTCTTAATTTTTTGACTGATTGAAGATATCCTTCCCCTGATTCCCCTGGATATTTAAATATTCTCTTCGGAACCGCCTTGAACTGTCACCAAATCGGTTACCAAACTGCTATTAGTTAACCCCAAAAACCAATCTTCACACGTACCCTCAACCGACCACTGACAGTTCCTGTCATTTGTACACTCCAACTGTCCCACCTTCTCACAACGGATGTGTTTCCCTGCCTATCAATCAAACTCAGCCCGATCCAAACTACAACCGACGCAATCCCCTAATTTCCTGACCCACCAATGGGCCCACTTTCCTTCTTATTTTGAGCCAAAATCCTAATTATACATTTTTTTATACTTAACAATAATATAAAAAATAAAATATAAATAATTGATTTGATATTTTTGAAAAAATAAAATTGATAAATAATAGAAGTTTGAGAAAGTTGATAAATTTGAGATTTTATAGTGTGTTTAGGAAAAATATGTTCAGCATTAATTTTCTCACTGATTTTTATTTTTTTATTATTTTTTATTTTTTATATTTATTTTGTGTCGACCTCGAGTCTTGACAAGCTGCATAATTAATGTAATATGCCCAAAAAAAAAAAGTAATTTTATAACATTGCCGAAGGTAATTTTATCAAAATATTCAACTTTTCTTTAACTATTTTAAAATATTTCACGCAAGCGGAACTAAAAATTATTAGGCATTGACTTCACGTCACGTGCATCTAATTAAGCCAAGTAGGTGTGGCCAACAATGGATGAGCTAATAATTCAATCACCGTAATCAAATTAATTTATTTATGGATGATCTGTCGTGATACACGAATCGAATTAGAATGGGCACACTTCACATGATTGGCTGCATTGAATATATCATATATATCTATACTTATATATTTAATTTTTTTTAAAAAAAAGTTATATATATATGGTGATTAGATTGAAATAAAAAGTAATGAATTGGTAGAACAGAAGAAAAGAGAAGAAGAATGAAAATAGAAATAGAAAAAGAATACATAGTGATGGTTGGGTGCCAATTGATGTATGCAGCAACGACTCTTACAACGAGATATGTTCTTCTGCAAGAAATGAGCTCCACAGTCTTTGTTACCTACAGACAGTCTTTCGCTTTCTTCCTTCTCGCTCCTTTCGCTTTCTTCCCTAGGTATTTATTTCTCTCTCTCTCTCTACAATCTTTTATCTAACTTTATTTTCTATTTCATGTGTTTTGAGATTTTAATTCAGGACAGTGTTGAAAACACATTATGTATCAAGAAATAAAAATATGACATATATATATATATAACAACAAAAAATAAATTAGGTCCGTAAGAAATGACATGGTGGTGTGGGGAGTAAACTTGTGATCATTAGTCATGAGTTTGAACCCCGACGACTCCAAATAACCAAACATAGTTCGTCTAGTGTGATTTATTCACTTAAATATATATATATATGTGCACACACATCTATGTTTTATTTTGGTAAAGATTTTACTACCATATATTTTGAGTCTATTACGTAGATACGGTAATTTAGATAAAATATAATTAGTAGATAATTACGAAGTGTATTAGTATAAGTAATTATTATTTAGTAAAAATAATTATATATTAAGATTAAGATAAGTAATAGTTTAATTAATATTAAAAAAATTATAAAATTTAAAATTTAAATTGTGATTAAAGTGAAGAATCATATTTCCAAAAAAGGAAAGAACAAGTTACGTGAGACGGACGAAAATAAAAAATAAAGACAAATTATGTGGGACGGAGGGAGTAATTATTGATGATTCTACTTTAATTTGAAAGTTGTTTTTCATTTGGTAATTACTTGTTAGCATATATGAATTAAAAATTGAAGTGGGATCAGATACTGAATCAAATTGTTCAGCATGAATGCTGAACACATGAAACTTAATTACTTTATTTTATATAATTAAATTTTATTATTATTATAATCATGTAAATTAATTTTAATGAGGTTCAGCACCGGTGCTGAATTTTTTCATTCAGCACCGGATCTCCTCCGTTAAAAATTTACTTGAGTTCGACTCATCTTGAGTTTTTATTATAAGTTTGTAAAGTTACATTTGAATAATTAATTGATTGATAAGAAATGTATTATTATTATTATTATTAATTTTTATTAGTGAATTTTGTCTAATATATAAACTTAAGTATAATGTTATAAAGTGTATCTTTTTAATATAAAAATATCAATTCAATTCCACAATGAACGGTATTTAATATTTCTTCCGTCCGCTTGCAAGAGTTACATGAGTGTGTTTACTTTGAAGTTTTGGTTTTGGGCTTTGACTTTGAATGGTAAACTTTTGAATTAAAATAATTATTTGATGTGATATTTTGAATGTAAAATTAGATTTTGAATTAAACATTTTCCAACGAAGCCCCAACTCATTTGTATAAAGAGCTGAATTTTGTATTTATATTTATCTCATTTTACTTAACAAATGAAGGATTTGTTTTTTTTAATAATTTTTTATTGATACAATTTTTAATAAATATTAATAAAAAATATAATGTACATACATTCATATATTATAAATAATATATATCATATTATATCGCCAAAACTTAATAATTCAACATACTAATATTACTTTTTATATTATCACTAAAATTCATCATACATCATATTTAAAATTTAAAAAAATTAAATAAATCTCAAATTAAAGCATGAAACAAATACACCCAAACTTTCATCGACATCAAGCAACTCAAGCTTGCAAACAAGTTTTGCAACTCTAGTTTAGAAGGAAAATATATACTATCTTCGTCCGGCTATAAAAGTCTTATTTACTTTTTGTCTGTTAATATCTGAATATTAATTATTATATCAAAATATAGTACAAATTAAAAAAAATTGCAAAAATACTTCTATTTGTGTCTTATAATACTAAAAGAACATTTGTACAAAAAAAAAATTAAACAAATATAAAAATCTTTTTAATATTAAATACAATGACGAAAAGGTAAATGTTAACATTAAGAATACAAGAGTTTTAAAACTCTAATTTATTTTTTTTTTTCTTAAGAATGGATTAAAAAAGCTAACTACTATTAAAATAATTACATACTTTTAAAATTACTAAATAAATGAATGGTCATGGATAATGTAAAGATAAAATTGTAATTTAACTCATATTACTACAAATATATGTATATGAATTTGTCTGAATAAATTAATATAATTATTTCATAAATTTAAATAAATAGTTATTTTATAAACTTAAGTTATATTTTTAATTAAATTAATTTGTAGCGTTCACATTAAAACTTAAATAAAGAATTCATTTATAATCTTAAATTATAACTAATTTATATGAGAAATATTTTGTAGAGTTAAAACATAGCTTAAATATATATTGTTAATGTAAACTAAAATTTGAATATAATTTTAATTTGTCATCTAATATACTGAAAGTTATATTGTTTTACCTTTTAGGTAAAGTATAATTAGTAAATAATTAAAAGTGTATTAGTAAAAATAATTATTATATTATAAAATGAATTATAAATTAAGATTAAGATAACTAAATATTATAATTAAGATTAAAAAATTATAAATTATAAAATTTAAAATATGATTTTAAAGTGTATAAATATATTTCCTAAAAAAAAATAGATAACTAAATATTATAATTGAGATTAAAAAATTATAAATTATGAAATTTAAAATATGATTTTAAAGTGTATAAATATATTTCTTAAAAAAAAAAAAAGATAAATAAGATGGAACCGACGAAAATAGAAATAGTTGACGAAAAATATAGGAAGGATGGAGTATTATATTATAATTTTTTATCTACAAAATAAATAATCAAAATAATGTATTGTTATAAAAGAAAAAAAAAAAGCAGTTGTATATAACATGAGAAAATTTCAAATAGAAATTTAAGAGTGTAGAATATTACTTCCTCCATTCCCTATTTCTATTTACTTCTATCCATCATTTTTTTTAAAAATATAATTATACACTCAATCACATTTTAAAATTCATAATTTATAATTTTTTTATTTTAATTAAACAATTTAGTCATCTTAATTTTAATTTATAATTATTTATATTAAATCATAATTATTTTCACTAATATATTTTTAAATTACTTACTAATTACACAATGTCTAAAACTCGGTGTATAAGGTAAATAGGACAATTTAGATGGGACAAATGGAGGAATAAATAGAAAATTAAAATTAATATAACTAAAAAATTAAGAAAATAATAACAAAAAAATAATAAAAAATTAAAATTAGCTACAATATATTTTTAGCTTAGTTTCTCAGTTAACATATATGGGTTTTTTTTTTATAGTTTTTTATTTGGATTTTAGAATAATAATATTTTGATATTCTTTTTTTTAAAAAAAATATAATAATACTTATATGTTTATTCTATACTTCGACGACAAAATAAAACAAATTTGATTTTGGAAATCCAAACTTTCACATGTTTGGTTTGAGTTTCAAAAGCAAATTACCACTATTCAATACATATGGTTTCATAAATAAAAATATATTATTTTTTTTACAAAATATCATATTACGAATATTATTTAAATTAAAATTAAAATTAAAATCAAATTTCACTTTTAAACCAAAACCAGACAAAACATTTGGGTGAATAATTCAATTATATGAATATATTCTAAGATTTTAATTCTTCTTTTTCTAGTTCAAAATAGTTTTATTAACAAAAATATATAAAATATTGTTAGATTTATATTTGAGTTTGGGTTTTTTTATTTAAATAGTATTTTAACATAATATTATATACAAAAAATAATATATTTTTATTTAAAATCTCATCGATTGAATAATAAAATATTTGGTTTGAAGCATAAGCCAACAAATTCCTTTTTGCATTTTTTATTATATAATATATATAATTTTTTTAAAAAAATAAATATCAGATTTGATATTAATTTTTAGTACAAAATATCAAATTGAATAATAGTTTCATTTTTAAAAAATATCAAAATAACAATAATAATAAAAGAATGTTAATTCAATTTGGATGTGTATATATGCAGTTTTGATTCATCAAAATTCATGTAGGTGAATTTGGGATTTTAAATAACAAATTTTTTTAATTAAAATAATTATTTGATATGATAAAAATATGTGTTAATACGATATTTATAATATAAAATTAAATTTTTGTGTAATATATTTTTATAAAAAAAAAATAGTAATTTATTTTGACAGATTTTTATGAGAAGAATTAGTCAATAGTAAATTTCGATTTGAAAAACTTTTGAACAAACATAGCAAGCGTTTTAGATATGCTTGGAAGTTATAAGAAAATTAAATAGAAAATAGATGTTACCTAATATTTAAATACAAAAATAATTTTTAAAATGAATTTAATAAAAAAAAAATCAAATGTTATATATGTATTTTAAGATGGAATTTTTTCTTATTGATAAATAGTACCAAAATATATATATATATATATATAACTAGGAACATAGATTAGCCGCTGCTCAGGTCAGGTCAAGTCAGTATAATATTGATTTGATCAAATCAACATATATATTATATAGGTAATCAGTATATATTTATACATATTTTATTATATTTATAATACAACATCTGTTATATTATAATTCAGTATATATTATATTATAACTCAATCGTATATTATATTATATATAAATATATATTGATTATGTATATAACATATACTATCTATCAATACACTTATTCTATTATGTATTCTATTTTTTCGATATTAATTTTTTTAGTCTGTAAATCCTACAGTGTCCTATAAATGAATATTTTTATTCTATAAATATCTAATTCATTATTTAGATCAATTTTTTTAAAAAAAAAAAAAAAAAAAAAGCAGCAAACATGCATGTGCATTTAATTAATCAGAATACCATGCGCTCCAACCCAACCCCATTTTCTGCCCCATTTTTTTGGATAACTATAGTGTTACTCTATTTTTGGAGTAATATTGTAACTCTACACTATTTTTAGAGTAGAGTATTTTGTTATTTTTTATAATTTTTGGGTGTTTTATGTAATTTTATTTTTTAGAAATTGATATAAAATTTTATTTTTGTAAAAAATAATATATAATTTATTTTTTTAAAAGTGATGTATAATTTTATAAATAAAATATGAATTATATATTTTTAGTGATAATATAAAAATAAATTAAAGTTAGGGTGTAATTTATAAATATGAAAAGTTATATAAAAGAAAAATATATAGGAATATATTTTTTTAGAGTAAAAATTGAAATTTGTAGTTTGAATAAGATGACTGTAGTAGACCAACTGTATTTTTACTATAGCTGTTGCAAAAATAAAGTAATGAGTTGGAGATGACCGAATGGATGGGACGCTGAATTTATAAAATTCAGCATTGCTTAAGTAACACCATTGATTACTAAATTATTTATCTGACTAACATGATTAAATTTAAAATTAAAGGTAGGGATTGAATGTTGAATGCATTTGCAAGTCAGCATATGATTTTATCGTTTAATTGATAATTTTGGCTCTATTTGTCCAATAATTTTTTTTACACAACTTGTAATATATTATTGTCTTATAAAACTAATATTTAAAATAAAATATTATTTTTATATTAGCGATACGATTCCTTATACTTCACATTAAAAGTTAACATTCAAAATAATAATACCTCGTTCGTCCAGAAAAATTATATAATAATATCTTTGTCCAATTTGAAAATATATATTTACTTTTGGCACGAAGTTTAAGAAATAATAGTACTTACTCTGTTCCGGAAGGAGAATACCATTTTTTTTGCACATAATTTTTTTAATATTAGTTTGTAGTAAAAAGATAAAAATACCTCTGTAAGTATTGTGTAATATAAAATTAATGATATTTGTGTAATATATTATAATTTGTAATAATATTTATTATGTTAGGTAGGTAGTATAATTATTAAATTAGGAAATGACGACACCTTTGTTATGGGACATACAAAAAAAAATAACTCTTCTTATGGGACGGAGGGGATAATTTAATTGTAGCAGATAGTTAAAAGTAGTGTAAAAATAATTTTATATTTAGTTTTTTGGTGTAAAAATAATAATGTGACGTAAAATAGAAGTATTTGTAGAAAAAAATGGAATTTTTTAAAAATTGTTACTATGTAATTGACCAACACAAAATAAAAATATGTATATTTTGTGAATTGACGGAAAAAGTATTAGTTAAAAACTAAAAAAAAATATTGATATTATAATGTTAAAGTGAGGGGCTGCGGATCCTGTGTTATCCAATTAAATAATATGGTGTTAATTTGATCGAATCAATATATCTTATAAAGATAATCAACGGATATTGTATACTATCCTAACATATTTATGATACAGTATATATTATGTTATAACTCAGCATATAATATTTTATAACACATATATTGTATTATACAAAAATATATATTGAATATCTTTATATGATATTTTGACCTCATCTATTCAGCACACCTGATCTGTACCCTAAAAAAGATATGTAAAAATTTAATGCGGAGATGTTATAAAAATATGTATATATTAATAAATTAATAAAATTATAATGAAAAAATAGAAATAATAATAATAATAAAATTTTTATTTACTATAAATAAAAAAATATAAAAGTATGAATTGATAAAATATTTTATTATAAATAGTATCGATTGATTCCATAAAATATAAATTAATAAATAATATGTATATCTACCTGTTTCGATTTTCAAATAAAATTATTATTTATATCATTTAATACGACACGTATATAAAAAATATATTTTTTGACGGACTGACCGATGAAATATATGTTTATAATTAAAATAAAATAAAATAAAGTTGTGAAGTAAACATATAACTATTTTAATTAAATATGGGGTTATTGTTGTTTGCAGGAGAGGAAAAAAGGCATGCGCTTTGGGGTGGAAGAGCTTTGGAATGATATTTATGCTTTCCCTTATTGGGCAAGTAACCTCTCTCTCTCTCTATTTATAATTTTAACTTTTTTTTTTTATATATTTATTAGAATTTTTATATATTATATTAATGAGTATATAATTTTTTTTAATTTAAAATATTACGAAAATTAAAGGTCTATTTATGCAAGTATTCTTTGGAATTATGATTCTTTAAAAATAATATTTATATCTTTTATAAAATTTTCTATATTATACATAAAAAAAAAAGATTATAAAAAAATTAATTATTGTCCGTCCCGTAGCAAAGTTGTCATTTGGTTTTTACGTCATTATATTTGACATGAAAAATATCTTTATATTTGAATAATTTAATTTAAAATATTATTGTATTGGTATTATAAGAGACTAATAAACATATTCTTGTCTTTTTTCTTAATTTTTACTGCGTCTTCATATAATAATTAATATTCGAAAATCAACGTGCAAAAAGCCAATGACAACCTTGCAGCGGGACGAAAGGAGTATTATAATTTCAGCATAGATACTAAATGAGTAAAAATGTATTATCATAATTTATAGTATTAAATAATATAATCAATATAATTATATAAATTTAAGATATATTATACGCATATTCTTAACACTTTTCTATAACATATAAGAAAAATCAATTCATACAAAAAAAAAAAAAAAATTGGGTGAACAGAACCTAAGTGTTTTTTATTTATATATTTTCTTTTTTATTTTCATATTTTTATTAAAAAATTGTTCTAAAAAATTTGACGATGATTAATATACTGACACTAACATCTATGAATGATGATCCGCACAATATGATGACAGATAAAACACAATCTATGTTAGTGTCAGCATATTAATCATCGTTAACATATACAAATATATTATTACTTTCGTTCGACTCTAAGTGTCTCATTTATTTTTTTCGTATTGATCTTTGAATAGTAATTATTATATTAAAACGTAATACAAATTAAGAAAAAAATTCAAAAATGCATCTATTAGTGCTTTATAATACTAATAGAAGGATATTTATACAAAAAAAAAAAAATTATACAAATATAATGATATTTTTAATGTTAAATATAATGACGCAAAAGATAAATATAACCCTTAGAGAAGAACGGATGAAATATATGATAATTGTTCATAATGCATACATTATAATTGATTTTAAAACAAAAAATATATCCATATAGTACACCTTATTTTGCGTTTGTTTTGTATTAATTGAAATTATATATTCCCTTCGTCTCATAAAGAAGTATCAATTTACTTTTTGCACGTAGTATTAGAAATATTAGTATTATATTGGGATATAGTAGAAATAAAATAGAAATGACTAAAATAACCTTATTAGTACGTGTGATATAAAAGTAATGACATTACGTGTGATATAAAAATAATGACATTTGTGTAATATATTGTAAATTGTAAGGGTATTTATAATGTTAGGTAGATAGTACAGTTACTAAAAAAGGAAATAGATACTTTGTTATGGGACGGACTAAAATGAAAAAATGGATACTTTGTTATGGGACGGAGGGAATACTATTTGTGTGTTTGGTCAAATTGGCACGTGACATCTCCCAAAAGTTCTATATCTAATATTTAGATTCTATTCAATTTTTTTACTATTTTAAAAATAAATTTCAAATTGTAGATAAAAATAAAATAAAATAATAATAATTTTAAAGTGTGTACATCAATAAAAGTTTTTGGCACACTTTCATATTAATATTATCCAAAAAAAAAAAAAAAAAAAACAAATACAACATATACACGCTAATAAAATATATATAGAATATATTTTTATATTACCAACATATTTTCATGTATCTACATTAAAAAAAAAATCTACATTAAAAATAAAAATAAAGTCAACAAATTTTTAATTATTCACTTATTATATTCCTTTTAAATTCTCGTGTCTAAAAAAAAATAAACACTTACGTGAGACGAAGTGAGTAATATAAAAATAGGATAAGTAAAAGCTAATGTAGAATGTTATAAAAAATTTATTAAATAGCTAATATAAAAAAAGAAAAAGATAATTAGAAAATATAATGACAAATTGATTGTTATTATTTACTAAAATAGAAGTAATGAATTATGAATTGTGAATTGATAAGTTATTTATTAAATTTAGGTAACATCTAGTGTGTTTCTTGTTACCAAAATTACGTGTTTTTTATATTTGGATATCGCATTCTCCAAAAAAAATATAATTTTTTTAACAAAAATATTTTATCAAATAATTTTATATCAAATTCAAATTAATTTTTTTTTTTTTTTAAAAAAAATCAATAAAAAAAACACACCCACATGATTGCCCCAATTGAGAGACTATTATTTTTTATTTGAAAGAAAAAAATAACAAACAAATCCTAATTAATTTATTTATTATTATTATTATATAATTTGCAGAGCAACGGCTAACCAGAACATATACAGCGAAGGATTGTATCTGACGACCTCTTCGGCTGCAAGTGCATTATCCAATTTGACGCCTGCCGTCACCTTCCTCCTCGCTTATACCTTCGGGTAACTTTTATTAAGTAATTAATTAATTATTTTTAAAATAAATAGTAGGAAAAATTGCTTATAATAGATACCGTTAGAAAATTTATATTATACTCTGCCCGGTCACGGTCACGTAACAATTGACATATTTCTATTTTTGGTAAATTTATTAAATTAATTTAATTAACTACATAACATATAATATTATACATCAATTGGGATCCAATCAAAATCTGCTTATTTTTATTTTTTTCCTAAAAAAAAAATTAATCTACATTTAAAATTTTACATATTTTATAAAATTAATTTATATTAATTATAAATAAATAAAAGTGTTTTTTATTTATTTGTATTATAGAAAATTTTATTCTCTACAAAATAATATATATTACATATATTTTTTATTACAATATAATTTTTAAAATATTTAAATACACATTCTAATTTTTTAAAATCATGTATATATAATTTATTTTAAAAGTATCAAAATACTATTATAGGATCTTCATCTTCATTTTCATTCACTTCTTTACATTCTTGTATAAAAACATAGTCTAACATGAAAATGGCACGGGATAAATGCATATACATGTATACAGTGCTTTTGTTGTACCGTTTCATTCTTAAACGGTGCTACTTATACTATCATACGTTGAAACTTATCAGAAATTCAATCCTAAATTCGGGATTTACCGTATTGTAATAATTGAGATAAAAATAAAGCAAAATAAATTAAAGCAAAATAAATTTAACTTTATTCATCAGCATAGTCGGATTCAAATCTACAAATCAATTGAGGGTTTTGTATTTTTCAAGCCTATGACGCAACCCCTTTTGAGAAAACCGCTAGGGTTTCTGCCATTACTCTCACGATGAGATATGAAAAATAATGGATGTTGCGTCGGGATCACAACCCTATTTATATCCCTTATTATTAATTGGTTTCATCACTCAATTAATAAGTTACCTGGTTTCTACACATAAGAGACTCGTACTTACTAAATAAATTTAAGCCCAATAAATCAATAGATCACTTAATATAGACTTAACCTGACTCATAATCCAAATAGTTACATTTAACCGACAATTAGATTTTTAATCCAATATCATATAGATGTGAACTGCAGTTTCAGTGTTAGATAAAAATTGATAGTACATAACAATAATTATACTGTACATATGTTATCATTGATTTCAACACATAAAATATATTTATAGAACATATAGTAAAATATATACTCCCTTCGTCTCATAACAAAGTATCCATTTTTCCATTTTAGTCCGTCCCATAACAAAGTATCAATTTCCTTTTTTAGTAACTGTACTATCTACCTAACATTACAAATACCCTTACAGCTTACAATATATTAAACAAATGTCATTACCTTTATATCACACATAAGGTTATTCTAGTCATTTTTATTTTATTCCTACTATATTCCAATATAATACTAATATTTCTAAAACTACGTGCAAAAAGAAAATGGATACTTATTTCTGGGACGGAGGGAGTAAATTGTTAGTGCATGATTTCAATCAACACCAACAAATATTGTTTTGTTGAGTGAAATCATATGTTGTATGTTCTCTTTTAGTGTATCAATTAGGGTTAATCAATACAATATTGATTAACCTAAATACATAACCACTATTAATGGCGTCGGTCCTGAGCCCAAGGAATACCTAAGGCCCAATAGGAACCTGTTATATATATAATTTGTTTGATTTATATAAAATACTATGAATGATCCGGTGGTACAGGGTTGAAATTGTAGGCATAAAAGTCATGGGCCTCTTCGAAATTTAGGATTGACAACTATAATTAACACAATTGACCATATATCAATTAAATCAAAAGTTGTTTATGACTATGATAGGTTGGAGAAAGTGAATGTTAGAAGTATGAGAAGTGTTGCAAAGATAGGTGGGACAGTGTTGTGTGTAAGTGGTGCTGCTGCAATGACACTTCTCAGGGGCCAAAAGCTACTCAATAACACATACTCACTATTATTATTACATCATAGTAATAATCTATTATTTACTGCTGCAACCTCAACATGGCTGTTGGGTTGTCTCTTGGTCTTGGCAAGCACTTTTTGTTGGTCTTTTTGGCTCATTCTACAGGTAAATAATTAATTTTTTTTATTTTTTTATTTTTTTAAAAAGTATAATTTTTTTTATTTTTTTATTTTTTTAAAAAGTATTATTATTATAATAATTATATTGTATTATTACTAGATATGGATAATACTAATCTAATGATATAATCACATTGACAACAGCCTAGTGTGAGTGCGCAGTACCCAGACCATCTAGCATTGACAGCGTGGATGTGCTTGATCGCAGCCGTCCAAACCGGCCTCTTGACGGCCCTGATCAACCCAGGGACACATGTTTGGAAACTCGATTCATCTTTCCAACTTTTTTCCTGCTGCTTTGCTGTGAGTATTATTATTGTTATTATTATTTTGTTATATGATGCATATTTTAAAAAATTTTGATACTCTTTCCGTCCCATTGAAAGGGTGACATTTGATTTTTGCACGTACATTTTTAAATATTAGTATTATATTGGACTGTAGTGAAGAAAAAGACAAAAATACCCTTGCTAGTATGTTGTAATATAAAAGTAATGACATTTGTATAATATATTGTAAGTTGAAAAGGTATTTATTATATTATGTAGGTAGTACAATTACTAAATTAGAAAATGATAACCTTATTTTGGGACGGACGAAAATAAAAAATGATAATCTTTCAATGAGACGGTAGGAGTACTATTTATTAAAATAGTTTTTAGTTTTAAATATAATATCAAACATTTATTTTACAAATTCCCGTAAAAATACGTAATACTTGCACACATATTTTTAAAAACATTGACATTATTCATCATCGGTAATTTTTTCAAAATACATTACATCAAATATATTTCACTAAAAATAATTTAGCTCCATTTCCATATCCATACACACACATATATATATATATATATATTAAAAAGTTTGACATTATTCATCATTGCCAGTTTTTTTCAAAATATATTACTATCATATACTTATTTTCTCTCTCTAAACATCACATCAAATACTAACATTATACTACTATTTAATTTTTCAAAACTCCAAAAACATCTACCTACACAAAGCCTTTACATATTATACAAAACATAACATACAACTATTTCACTTAAATACACACAAAAAGCACTTGTATATTGTGTTTTCAAAATCATTCTACAGTGAAAAATCTTTTCTTCTAGAAAATATTGCATCCAGAATCCATAAACACCAAATAAAATACCTAATCTTCATTCATATCCACCCCTTATTTTCAATTCAAAACCTTTCAAATCCAAAACATCTCATAAACAAATCAAAAACACTTTCCTTTTTCTTTTTTTCTTTTTTATGGATTGGAGCTTAATGAAGTGTTAGTGCAACAGGGATTGTCAACAGCAGTAACAATATTTGGACAAACCTGGTGTGTTGCAAGAAGAGGACCTCTATTCTCTGCTTCTTTCAGCCCTTTATGCACTGTTATAGTCACACTTGTGTCCTCTACTTTGATGCATGAAGAGCTCTACACTTGGAGGTAATAACCTACTCAATTTCTATATTCCCGCTACATTCTTTCGTTCAAAGATCAAATTGCTACTATTCATTTTCCGATAAAATAAAGAAAGGAAATCTAACATCTATTTTCATTAGAAATACTACGTCCAAAATATGTTTACTATTCAAAAGCATTGCCATTATCAAACATCCCCAAGACACCAAACAAACGAGCATTTCTAATTTTCTGATTTATTATAGTAAATTTCATTATGCTCATCTTTACTATGAAACTAAATAGCTATTTTTCCTTTTTAATTTAGAAGTTGTTCAAGATAATTGTGCTTTGTGAAACTCTAATCCCTCATTCGTTAAAATTAACTGAAGGTATGTGTCATGTACTAGGACTGCAACTAAAGTCGAGGGTTTAGTTAGTTAAAAATATACAATTTAGTTGGAATCATAGCATATTATTCTATTACATTCTCATTCAGAAATAACTTTGCTACTATTCATTATCCAGTAACATAATTTTTTTCTCCTAAAAAATAGGAAATCTAGCATCGGCTTCTCACTAGAAATATCATGCCCAAAACATATTTTCAATTCAAAAGAATTGCTATCATCGAAAGACCAAAACACTCCTAAGGCACAAACAAGCGAGCATTTCTAATTTTCTTACTTATTATGATAAATTTAATTATGCTCATCTTTAGTGTAATAATAAGAAATTATTATTTCCCTTTTGAACATAGAAGTTGTTTAAGATAATTATGTTTTGTAAAAATCTAATCTCTTGTCCATCAAAATTAACTAAAGATGTGTGTCATGTACCAGGATTGCAACTAAAATCGAGGGGTTAGTTTAAAATATACAATTTTAGCTGGAATCCTAGCTTGTGAAACGTATTATTCACTAAATTCTAACACATAGGAGGTTCTGTGCACAGTTATACAAAATATAAACTGGAATCCCTCCATTTCTAAATTGTGGGGTGGGACTGGGGGGTGATTTTTGAGTAAATCGTAGGGTAGCCTAATAGAATTTACCCTATTTATGACAGATTCTTTTACCCGGCAATAACATGTGTCTCTTGTGTAGTATTGTGGGAGGATTGATTGTGATAGTCGGATTATACATTGTACTGTGGGGCAAAGCAAAAGAGCATCAAGGGAAAGATGAAGAACACACAGAAGACCAGTTGAAGACTAATCAAGATTCAGACAACATTTGTGGCTGCACAATTGATTTAGAGGAGCCGCTTTTGTCTGAACAGATTTCAGCAGAATTAAAGGTGAGTAATTAGAATAACAAGACTCTAAATCTATCCTGGATTAGTGTTCCTTTCGACACATACACATATATATATATATGTATTTAATTATTCACATCTTCTTGATGGAATGGGAATATTGCAAATTTTGTCAGGTCAGTACAGTAATATATATTATTGTTTTAAAAATAGTTTCTTATGTTCTTATATACTCAACACAGATATTAGCATGAACTATAACTTTAAAAGAATATATATTATGATTCTAAATTTTCTAAGTTACAAGATGATAGAAACTTTCTAAGTTACTCAAAATTTGAAGCCAGTAAGTCAAAATCATCTGCAGGTTCCTGATCAGTTTGATCACACAATAAAAGCAGGTTGCAATAATGCCAAGAGTGTAACCTTAAGCACAATCCATACAAACCAAGATAATAGCCATCCTCTGACTATCAATTTTCAAAATGAAACCATCAACTGAATAATTTTAGGATAGGATTTTCACAACAATTTCTAACAGGACGAGAGTGCATTACATAACCAGTCACAAAATTTCAAGACAAATATACTTGCAATGCAAGTCGTAAACATTGTTATTACATAAATAACATAAATTAAAGCAAAACTTTAAATCAAAAGAAGCAATATATGGTACATATATCATCCACGGTGAAGGACTACAACAAAAATAGCAAACTCAGTAGGCCATATTTAGTTGGTACGATCGAATCCCATATATAATCGATCTAATAAAATTTGAACAGAAATTTATAATAGTACCTGATAAATGAACCTTTGAATTGGTTTCTTAAGTATGCAGCCAAGAAAAAGAGAAATGGAAGAAACTTTTATGTAAACTGGGGCGTTTGAATTCATTTTTACGGAGTCAAATCATAAATAAAATCTAGAAAGCAGGTTTTCGAAAGTTTGTTGGGATTGCTTTTGAAAAAAGCACCTATTGAAAACAAACTTAACACTTTTCAATAAATAATAAGATAGACATATACATACATAATTCAATTCTCGCATTTCAAAGCATACAAAGTTTTGGCCAAGGAATTCAACTAGAATTTTCTTTAACTTATACAACATAAATAAAATAATTTGAAATATAATTCTATATCAATATATCAATAATTTTATTCATTCAATATAAATATACATATAATGATAGAAAATTTTAAACAATCGGTATCACATGCTCTTTCTAGTCATTCATAATAACAAAAAAAGACATTTCATTTTGTCCACCAAATACTTTTCACCTTCAATCCAAATAGTGTTCTACATGTAATTCCGGTTTTGATTTCTGAATTTGTTAAAAAGTAAACACCGACGACCTAGCTTGGGCATCATTTTCTGAAATCACATAGAGTAGAAAATTACTTAACCTTTATCATATGATAACATGGCAAACATCATGTTCTAACTATACATTTTTCCACATTAAATAAGTTAGAAAAGGCATAGTATTAGACAGTGCACTTCGAGATATTTTAAACAGAAAATTTCAAGAAATTCAAAGGATGATATCAACGAAAAAGGTACAGTGAAGATCTGAAAAACATCATTTGATTCAGCAACTCTTCTTATTTGTTTTGGGGAAGCATAAAAATGCACAGAAAGAAAATTGCAACGAAAATTTATTATCTCAACTGCAGCTTAAAATTCCAAGAGGAGAAGGACTAAAACCCTTACACGGTGATGTGATCAGAGGGGCCCAGGGAAAGTTCCATTCTCCCTCTGCTCATTCCACCTTTCGATCTGCAAATGATCAATAGAATACAGAAACTTATAGTAATTTATTCATGTAATACACCAAATTAAGGAAAATAAAGAAAGCTGGAAAATAAAGAAAGCTGGAAAACAAGAACGTAGAAGGAATACAAAGAATAATGGCCCAATGTGAACATAGTCATCATAACTCACCCACTCTCCAGGACATAGAGCACGGTAGTACTTGGCGAATTTTTCGCAGTCACCAGCCCCTTCACCCTTTGCAGCCACACACCTGAAAAATATATCATCATGAGTCTTCTTTCCTAGCAACTAATAGAGCAAAATCATTTCACATGAAAATGTATTAGTCCTTATGAAATTCATAATCAAAATACCAGAAATGCTATCACAGTACAAGAGTAACACTCATTTTAAGACAAAATTAAGAAATACAAGGGGAAATAGATCCATAGGTCTGTAATCTCAACTCAGCTCAATCCATCAATTTAAATTAATGATGACAGATATCCATAGTGCCAAAAAATATGTCACAAACTCATGATTAAATGAAAGGAAAGCTAGGAGAAAAAATATATATCATTTGACACTTACAACAGTGGTTTGCAGGCGCATGGCTTCAAAATAGAAATTGGACTGACTCCTATTGAAATAGGAATACTTCCCATATCCACAAGGCACGTACCAATAGATTCCAGTGAATTCTCTCAACTTCTTTAATAATTGCAAAATGATGTTTTTAATAACATTAAAGCAAACACAATTAAATCTCATTCTAATGAACAGATTTAAGCACAAAACTAAATTAATACACATTCTCAAAAGGATCACTAGTTTGTTAGAATACACAAAATACTATAGATATATCAGTAACAAAAGCTTGATCATAATGCAAGACAACAAAATCCACATAACGTGTTAAACTCAATGTAGCGGGTGAAACAATGCCTCGTTTGGTTGGTAGTCGGGAAACGAACATCTGCAGGCGCAGTTTTCAATTCAATCTGACAAAAAAAAAAAAAAATCCACAAATTAATTATGTCAGATGTAAACGAATTCGCAAATCACCGGCAAAAAATAGGAACAACAAATGAACGAGATATATGACTCCGGCGTAGCAACCCTAAATCAAAACCGATAGTTGTGTAACAATCATGATACAAACTTTTATTCAGCCATTAGAAATCAACAGCCAAGCGAAGCAAAAGGTAAATAAATAAATCAATTCAAAATCACTGTAAAATACACCTATTCTGTAATGCCCCGATTTCGGAATGTATAAAATAATATTATTATAGCAAATAAATATTTGACAATAGTAATGGAATCAAGAAATTAATATTTTGGGATAAATTATATTCCAATTTTGTATATTAGTTATAATTAAATAGACTGTTAAATGGATAAATATCGATAAATATAAATATAAAATATATAATAATAATATAATAATAAAAGTAATGATGATGAAGATAATATTTATAATAATAATAATAATAATAACGCTAATAATAATAATATAATATAATATAATGTAATATAATGTATATAATATATATATATAATAATAATATAATTATATATATAAAACAAGCAAACTTACCTGCGAAGCGAAGGAAGGCAGAGGAAGAAACGTGAAGGGAGGAAGAAGAAGGAGAAAGAAAGAAAAAGATTTAGCCGTTCGATTCCAATTCCGACTTGGGTATGGTATTCCTTGCTATTCGTAGAGTCCGATTATAAATTTTAATACGAATTTTGATATTGGAGTATTAAATTAGAAATTCTTCAAAAATTCAAAATTGGCTATTTAGCTATTTAATCGATGAATTTCTTTAGCTAATAACCTATTCGTAGCGCCGACGTTATATTTTGAGAATTTCGTACCAATCCAAGTCGAATAAAAAACGGCAGTATATTGCACCTGCCTGCTTGTTCATACCTTTGCGTATTTTTATTTAATAATCGGGCAATATAAATATTATGAGGTAGAAGGATTTTATAGCTAGAATATCATATTCTACTAAATATAAAAGTTTGGAGCCCGACGAGTTAATTATAGAAATTAGCTTTTGAATAAGCAGGTAGCTCCTGAGAATAAGCATAAAGCTCATCTGATTTGAGTAAATAATGGAACAGGTGTACGTTGGAGAAGATTTGGGTGAAGTTATAAAAACCCAGAAAGTATCGGTAGGAGGTAATCTAATTTTAAGAAATTAGGTATTTATGTTGTATGTGATTCTGATTCTGATATTGATATGATATTATGTGGAATCATTTGGTCAGTGCATCTATATATGTATATATATGTGTGTATATGCATGTGTGAAACTTCGTTTTACGATATTTGATATACGTATTTGATCGTGTTGGTGAATTTATAAAAAGGAGGATAGGTGGGCCGTCTCACCAGCCCTTTTCATTAAATTCACTTATTGACATGCTGCACACATTGCACGATTTATCGGATATGTTTTATGGATCTATCGTTTAGTCGCCGTGTGCGGTAGTGCTAGGCGAGGGCATCATCTGGGGTTAGGATATTCGACACCGATGTACCGTAACACTTTGGCGATAGTGGACGATAGTAGTCGGACAACTGGGTGACTTAGTCGCACGGTCATTCAGGGATTAGACCCATTGCAGTTGAGACGTATTTGGTCTAATCATTCGGGTTCGGTGTTGTTCCACTCATTGGAGTAGCTACTAGTGAGGTCTACCGGTAGTTTAGGATCAGATGCCAAACTCCAAACGCGATCCCGTTAGGGCGTGCGAGGAGGAGTAGAGTTTCCGGGTTTCCTTCGGGTGATTCCAGGTTGCACGGATTCTACTACGTTACACGGGGTAGGGCTAGACAGGAGGGTCCTATCTTCGCTATCACAGACTATGGGGTGTCTTGTGGTTAATGGCGACAACGCTCGGCTATCCATGTATTGATTGCGGGAGTCGTATGGTGGGTATATGGAAGTGACCGGGTGACCGTTATATTATTATGTGTTTACCAGGTCCTTCCTTGAGCCGAGGATTTTCCGGCTATTTATTGATGATAGTCTAGTGAGCCGTTATTATGGAGCCGAGGTTATTCCGGCTGCTCACTTTGACATATGTATATGGGTATATGTGCATGAGTTGTCGATTTTGACATTATTGTTACATTATTTCAGTATGAGCATGGCATGGCATTTATTTTGCAAATGACGGAAATTAAACTCTATTTTCGAGCATGACATGGCATATTTTATGTTAGTTCTTAAAATGGATTTAATTCTAGACTGCTTTTAAGAAAAATATTTGATTCAGGTACGCATGGCACCTCCGGGACAGGGGACGTCTCGGGAGATAGAAAGACGGGCTGAATGAGTGAACTGCATCTGATGTATTATATGTAAATTCTAACTAGAAAAACCTCCCGTTTTGGGAGTATGTTTTTGTAAATATTTATAAACTTGTTTTTTTGGAAATAATAAAATGCTTATATAATTAATTTTAGCCTTAACACTGTGTTGTGGGGCCCGAAGTAGGAGGTGACGACCTCATGATGCAGTGTGGCGGTAGCATTTCCAGTATGAGCCAACTGGGGGTGTTACAAGTTGGTATCAGAGCCTAGGTTTGATAGATTTTGGCTCTTTGAATTAAAAAGGTTTTGAAAATAATAATGATATTGAATTGGTTTGGTGAGGTTTGGGTTTTGCGGGTGCATTCATGTTAATGTGATCTATCTTTTATTGTTATGCTTGGTTTAGCTGTGTGCTGAATTGATATTGAATCAGGAAAAATTGGGGGCAGTATGTCGAATTCTCGAGGTGGTGGTGTACGTAGGGCTATTCAAGGCCCAGAGTTTGATCCTTCGTCTGATGAGTCACAGTATCCTGTGCCAGCGCATGTACCAACAGAGGCACCTAGTCAGGATTTCTTTCGGCAGTTTATGGCCGCGATGATGCCTCAACAGAGGAGTTTCATTGATGCTGTGATGCGGCATAACCCACCAACATATTCTGGTTCAGTGGAGCCAGGAGTCCTTGAGTTTTGGGTTGAAAAGATGGAAAAGATATTTCGTGTTGTTCAGGTTCCGCCAGATCAACGAGTTAATATTGGAGCCTATTTCTTGGAAGGCCGAGCAAATCGGTGGTGGTTAGGTGAAGAAGCTGCAGGTGTAGACCAAGTGGATATGACTTGGGATGAATTTAAAGCAAAGTTAAAGGCTAGGTTTATACCGTCGCATATTCGAAAAGCGAAGAAGCAAGAATTGCTGGACTTAAAGCAGGGCTCGATGTCAGTTGAGGATTATTTTGTGAAGTTTAATGAGTTGGAGATGTATGTTCCTGACTACTTTTCCTGTGAGCGAGACAGAATTGACCATTTTGTAGACGGGTTGCAACACAGAATTCAAGAAGCTTTAGCGGTGTTGGATATCAGTTCATTGTATGAGGCTTACGAGCGTGCTGCCCGATTTTATCAGAAGCAGGAAGTCAGACAAAAGGAGAGTGAGAAGGAAATAGGTTATCAACATCAGGTTCGAGATAAGGGAAAAGCTAAAGTGGAGGATGAGCCCAAGGGTAAAAAGAAATGGTGGCAAATGTTCAGGTCTGGGCCATCGTATAAGGGGATTTCGATTAATGAACCGAGTCAGGAGAGGTCTCAGCAATCGGGGGCTGTTTGTCGGCGTTGTGGAACAAGCCACCCAGGTACTCGTTGTGATAAAGTTCCATTGACATGTTTTAAATGTGGTGGTAGTGGTCACATTGCCAGGTTATGTCCAAGTGTGGTAACTGCAAGGGAGTTTCCAGAACCGAGGTTTAGGCCATGGCAGCCGCCGTCTTCGCAGTCACAAGGGAGAGGATTAGGATCATCTTGGCGAGGGGGACGAAGTCAGTCACGTTCGTCATCTAGGCAGCCAGGCAGAGGACCTGACCAGCGTGGACGAATAAATGTTCTTACCCAAGCAGAAGCTGATTATCATCCAGGTGAGGTTTTAACGGGTAGATTTCTGGTTTGCGGTTTTCCTGCTCTTGTGTTATTCGATTCGGGTGCAACGTTCTCGTTCATATCTAAGCGTCTAGTTAGACGATTGGGTCTGAATTCATCAGTTGAAGTGGTAGTGGAAGTTTTACTTCCATCAGGAGAAGTGTTGGAATGCCGAGAGCTTTATATGCAGATTCCGGTTAGTATTGAAGGGGTTGATTTTGTTACTAACTTGTTGGGCATCAAGCTATCCGAGTTCGATGTAATATTGGGGATGGATTGGTTAGTGGCATATCAAGCTCAATTTGATTGTCGAAAAAGATCAATTTCGCTGGTTGGAGCGATGGGCGAACAGGTGGATTATGCAGGATCTGCCAGACAACCTTCTATGAAGGTAATTTCATCCCTATCATTTCAATCATTTATTCGTAAGGGGTTTCCAGTATATCTGTGTGAGGTAAGAGATTTGACGCAAGGGGAGCAGCGATTGCAAGATATTCCTGTAGTCCGAAATTTTCCTGATGTATTTCCTGATGACATTCCGGGTATGCCACCAGCTCGTGAGGTGGATTTTGCTATTGATATTGTGCCGGGTGCTGAGCCAGTATCAATGGCTCCATACCGGATGGCACCTTTAGAACTAGCTGAACTTAAATTGCAACTACAGGAATTGCTAGATAAGGGTTACATTCGGCCTAGTACATCGCCTTGGGGAGCTCCAGTTTTATTTGTGAAAAAGAAGGATGGAAGTTTGAGGTTATGTATTGACTACCGTGGACTGAACAAAGTCACGGTGAAGAACAAATATCCTCTTCCGAGGATTGATGATCTATTTGATCAACTGAGAGGTGCAACTATATTCTCAAAGATTGACTTGAGATCTGGATATCATCAGCTAAGGATTGCAGAGCATGACATTCCGAAGACAGCTTTTCGGACTAGATACGGGCATTATGAATTCACGGTTATGTCCTTTGGGTTGACTAACGCCCCGGCTGCGTTTATGGAGTTGATGAATAGAATTTTTCAACCATACCTCGATCAGTTTATGGTGGTATTTATTGACGATATCTTGGTCTATTCCCCAGATAAAAAGACGCATGCAAAACATTTGCATGTAATATTAAACATATTGCGTGCAAGAAAGTTATATGCCAAGTTATCCAAATGCGAGTTTTGGTTGAAGGAGGTTGCTTTCTTGGGGCATGTTGTTTCTGGAAAGGGTATCTCAGTAGATCCTTCTAAAGTGGCGGCAATCTTGGATTGGCCAAGACCTACCAATCAATCAGAAGTAAGAAGCTTTTTGGGTTTGGCAGGATATTATCGGCGATTCGTTCTTGATTTTTCGAAGATTGCAAAACCATTAACTAATTTGCTGAAAAAGGATGCAAAGATTAACTGGGATCACGAGTGTGAGTCATCCTTTTTAGAATTGAAACATCGATTAACTTCAGCGCCAATTTTGGCTTTACCAGTGGAAGGTGAGGAGTTTGAAGTGTATAGTGATGCTTCGAAGCAGGGATTGGGATGTGTCTTAATGCAGAATCAAAGAGTTATTGCTTATGCATCACGACAACTAAAACCTCACGAAGAGAATTATCCGACACACGACTTGGAAATGGCAGCAGTGGTGTTTGCTTTGAAGATTTGGAGACACTATCTTTATGGAGCCCATTGCAGAATATTTACTGACCATCAAAGTTTGAAATATATCTTCACCCAAAAAGAATTGAATTTAAGACAAAGAAGATGGTTAGAATTGGTGAAGGATTATGATCTTGAAATTGTGTATCATGAAGGCAAAGCAAATGTTGTAGCCGATGCCTTAAGTCGAAAACCAAGGCATAACTTGGGCTTCATGTCGGTTGCTGATGAACTGTGTCAAGATTTAGCGCGGATGGAAATTGAGGTACTTGGACGGGGTATGACTCGGGGATATTTGCAAATGATACAAGTTGAGCCTGAAATTTATGATCGCATTAGAGCGGCTCAAATGGAAGATAATAAAATGGTTGAGCTTGCAGTGAAAGTTCAGTACGGTCAGACTCAAAATTTTAATATTGCTCCAGATGGGAGTCTTCGATTTCACGGGAGGTGGTGTATCCCAAAGGATCGAAATGATTTGAAAGAGCAGATTATGAGTGGGGCTCATAATACACCATACTCAGTGCATCCGGGGGGAAATAAAATGTAACATGACCTACGTCAACATTTTTGGTGGAAGGGCATGAAGAAGGATGTAGCCAAATTTGTTGCACGATGTTTAAATTGTCAAAAGGTAAAAGCAGAACATCATAGACCAATGGGGTTGCTACAACCTTTAGAAGTTCCACTCTGGAAATGGGATTCTATCGCAATGGATTTTGTAACAGGACTTCCAAGGTCAAAGTCGGGAACAGATGCAATTTGGGTAATTATAGACAGATTGACCAAGTCAGCAGTGTTCATTCCAGTACGTATGACTTGGAGTATGCAGAAATTGGCCAAATTATATGTTCGTTATGTGGTTAAACGACACGGTATTCCTGAGGTGATCATATCAGATCGTGATCCACGTTTTCAATCTCGATTTTGGCAAAAATTGCAGGAAGCCTTTGGTACTCAGTTGCATATGAGTACTGCATTCCATCCTATGACTGATGGTCAGTCAGAAAGAACTATCCGTATTCTGGAAGATATGCTAAGAGCTTGTGCTATGGAATTTCAAGGGAGTTGGGAAGACCACTTGGATTTAGTGGAATTTTCATATAATAATAGCCATCAAGCAAGTATCGGAATGGCTCCTTTTGAAGCTCTTTATGGTCGAAAATGCAGAACTCCTTTGAGTTGGGACGATATGAGTGATCGACTGATACTGGGTCCGGAAATGATTGAGGAATCGAAAAATAAGATTCGAATTATCAGAGAAAAGATGAAGGCAGCTCAAGATCGTCAAAAGAGTTATGCCGATAGAGCCCGACGTGAGGGTCAATTTCAAAGTGGAGATTTTGTCTTATTGAAAGTATCCCCAATGAAAGGTATTAGAAGGTTTGGGATTAAAGGAAAATTGAGTCCGCGTTATGTTGGACCTTATGAAATTGTCGATCGAGTTGGTGATTGGGCCTATCGGTTGGCACTTCCAAATTCTATGGAGCGTATCCATAATGTGTTTCATATATCTCAGCTTCGTAGGTATGTTGCAGATCCTTCTCATATTTTATCTCCAGATGAGATAGAGCTGAATGAAGATCTTTCGTATGAAGAAAAGCCTCTGTGGATCATGGACACAAAGGTCCGAGCCATGAGGAATCGAGATATTCGTATGGTGAAAGTAATGTGGTCCAGACATGGAGCGGAAGAGGCCACGTGGGAAGTAGAACAAGAAATGTTCAAGGCATACCCACAATTGTTTAATTAAGTTGCCTTGTTATGTGTTTGAGTTTAGATTTCGGGGACGAAATCTTTTTAAGGGGGAGTGGATTGTAATGCCCCGATTTCGGAATGTATAAAATAATATTATTATAGCAAATAAATATTTGACAATAGTAATGGAATCAAGAAATTAATATTTTGGGATAAATTATATTCCAATTTTGTATATTAATTATAATTAAATAAACTGTTAAATGGATAAATATCGATAAATATAAATATAAAATATATAATAATAATATAATAATAAAAGTAATGATGATGAAGGTAATATTTATAATAATAATAATAATAATAACGCTAATAATAATAATATAATATAATATAAATATATATAATATATATATAATAATAATATAATTATATATATAAAACAAGCAAACTTACCTGCGAAGCGAAGGAAGGCAGAGGAAGAAACGTGAAGGGAGGAAGAAGAAGGAGAAAGAAAGAAAAAGATTTAGCCGTTCGATTCCAATTCCGACTTGGGTATGGTATTCCTTGCTATTCGTAGAGTCCGATTATAAATTTTAATACGAATTTTGATATTGGAGTATTAAATTAGAAATTCTTCAAAAATTCAAAATTGGCTATTTAGCTATTTAATCGATGAATTTCTTTAGCTAATAACCTATTCGTAGCGCCGACGTTATATTTTGAGAATTTCGTACCAATCCAAGTCGAATAAAAAACGGCAGTATATTGCACCTGCCTGCTTGTTCATACCTTTGCGTATTTTTATTTAATAATCGGGCAATATAAATATTATGAGGTAGAAGGATTTTATAGCTAGAATATCATATTCTACTAAATATAAAAGTTTGGAGCCCGACGAGTTAATTATAGAAATTAGCTTTTGAATAAGCAGGTAGCTCCTGAGAATAAGCATAAAGCTCATCTGATTTGAGTAAATAATGGAACAGGTGTACGTTGGAGGAGATTTGAGTGAAGTTATAAAAATCCAGAAAGTATCGGTAGGAGGTAAACAGTAGGGAATTAAATCTAATTTTAAGAAATTAGGTATTTATGTTGTATGTGATTCTGATTCTGATATTGATATGATATTATGTGGAATCATTTGGTCAGTGCATCTATATATGTATATATATGTGTGTGTATATGCATGTGTGAAACTTCGTTTTACGATATTTGATATACGTATTTGATCGTGTTGGTGAATTTATAAAAAGGAGGATAGGTGGGCCGTCTCACCAGCCCTTTTCATTAAATTCACTTATTGACATGCTGCACACATTGCACGATTTATCGGATATGTTTTATGGATCTATCGTTTAGTCGCCGTGTGCGGTAGTGCTAGGCGAGGGCATCATCTGGGGTTAGGATATTCGACCCCGATGTACCGTAACACTTTGGCGATAGGGGACGATAGTAGTCGGACAACTGGGTGACTTAGTCGCACGGTCATTCAGGGATTAGACCCATTGCAGTTGAGACGTATTTGGTCTAATCATTCGGGTTCGGTGTTGTTCCACTCATTGGAGTAGCTACTAGTGAGGTCTACCGGTAGTTTAGGATCAGATGCCAAACTCCAAACGCGATCCCGTTAGGGCGTGCGAGGAGGAGTAGAGTTTCCGGGTTTCCTTCGGGTGATTCCAGGTTGCACGGATTCTACTACGTTACACGGGGTAGGGCTAGACAGGAGGGTCCTATCTTCGCTATCACAGACTATGGGGTGTCTTGTGGTTAATGGCGACAACGCTCGGCTATCCATGTATTGATTGCGGGAGTCGTATGGTGGGTATATGGAAGTGACCGGGTGACCGTTATATTATTATGAGTTTACCAGGTCCTTCCTTGAGCCGAGGATTTTCCGGCTATTTATTGATGATAGTCTAGTGAGCCGTTATTATGGAGCCGAGGTTATTCCGGCTGCTCACTTTGACATATGTATATAGGTATATGTGCATGAGTTGTCGATTTTGACATTATTGTTACATTATTTCAGTATGAGCATGGCATGGCATTTATTTTGCAAATGACGGAAATTAAACTCTATTTTCGAGCATGACATGGCATATTTTATGTTAGTTCTTAAAATGGATTTAATTCTAGACTGCTTTTAAGAAAAATATTTGATTCAGGTACGCATGGCACCTCCGGGACAGGGGACGTCTCGGGAGATAGAAAGACGGGCTGAATGAGTGAACTGCATCTGATGTATTATATGTAAATTCTAACTAGAAAAACCTCCCGTTTTGGGAGTATGTTTTTGTAAATATTTATAAACTTGTTTTTTTGGAAATAATAAAATGCTTATATAATTAATTTTAGCCTTAACACTGTGTTGTGGGGCCCGAAGTAGGAGGTGACGACCTCATGATGCAGTGTGGCGGTAGCATTTCCAGTATGAGCCAACTGGGGGTGTTACATATTCAACATCTTGCAACAACATGAAATAAAAAATCATCGCCGCATCAACAAAACAATAGCACTGACATTTCGCAATATAAATTTGCGTCGGGATGGGATTTACCTCGGCTAGAGGCGATCGACGGGAGATCTCTGCTTCAAATGGCTCAAACGAATCAAAAGAGGAGAAGTGAAGTGGTGCGTTGATCTTGATCTTATAGTTGTCTCGAAGAAAGAGGATTGCAGTTAGAAAACAAAAACTAGAACAAATAAATAAAATAAATAAATAATGAACATTAACGGCTTTCTTTACTTCCATATTAAAATTTAATTTTATATTTAAAATATCACAGTACATATTTTATGTCATATTAAATAAATATTTAAATTCAAAATTTTATTATTTAAAATCATAAAGATAAAACAAAAATCTCATAGGTAAACACACCAGCCGTCCTTTCTCTCCAATCAAAGACATCCGTAAACAATTCATAACTATATTCTTTTTAGGATTTATAATGGGTGTGTTTATTTTGTCTTTTTATTTCAAATAAAATTTTTTGATGAGAAAATATAAAAAGTGCGTAAATAATATAAAAATAATTATGTATAAATATATTAATTTTTGTGAAAAAATATATTAAAAAATTAAAAAAATAAAAACAAACCCAATATATTTTTCTATTTAATTTTTGTCTTATAATCTTAGACTATACACCTAGGTGACATCTCCTATGCAGAGACCTCGGCACCAAATAAGCAGCACCAAATAAGCAATAACTAAAAAAAATTGAAAAAATCTCATAGATATATATGTAGAGATGCCTAGAAATATTTTATTTTCTTTTTATTTTATATATTTATTTTTTGTATACTTTTATATATATATATGTATTATATGAAACTTTGTTTTTTATACAATAATATGTATATCGATATATTTTTTTAATTTTAAAATAAATAATAATGATATAAATATAAATATATATGTAATTTTTTATTAATGAGGAGAAAAGAGAGTATAAGTTGAAAGAAAGAGAGCGCAAAGATCCTTGTACTCTTTTTTTTAGAGTCAAAAAATATTTTTTATATAATTTATTTTATAATTTTTTAAAATTCACAAATATATCAAATACTTAATATAAATGTAAATTAAAAAATTAAAATATAGAAATATAAAAAAATAAATTATTTCATAAATAATAAAAAAAGAACATTGAAAAAAACTTTTTAAAAATAAAGAAACAAAAAAAGTATAATTTATTCATATATTTTAATTAATAAATAATTAAAAATTATAACAAAAAAACACCCTCTCACTTGAGAGGTAGTTTAAGTTCAGCTCAATTCTGCCTCACCTTCTCGGATGATAAAGTGACAATTGAAGAATGTGTGATTGTTTGGGGAATTGGATTTTAATATCACTATTCATTCCATTTTTTCCCCCAAAAATATTAAATCAAATATATATTTTTTATTTTTATATTATATTAAAAATCAATTTTACATTCAAAATATCACATCAATACCTATTTGTATCACATCATACAACTATTCAAATTCATTTTTACTATTCAAATCCCAACTCAAAATCCAAACCTCCAAACAAACACACCTAAGGTAAGTACAGATAAGTTGCACATGGTCTAATATTTTTTCTCTTTTATATTGTATTCTCTTTTGGTTATTTTAGAAAAAGAAATTATCTTTTTTAATTATTTTATATACTTTTTTTAAAAAAAAATTAATAAATTATACATTTTTATTATCTTCATATTATCTACGCAATTCTCTATAACTTATATATAAAAAAAAAAAAAAAAAAAATCTAACTATTTTACATAATAAACCAACATTCCTCATTTACAAAAATTTTAAATTCATTTTTCTTGGCATCATTATAATTTTGAAATAGTATAAATAATATTAGATTATTTATTTATTTAAAAAAATAATTATATTTAGTTAAAATTATATTGACACTCCCTCCGTCCATTGAAAGGTTGTTATTTTTCATTTTCGTCTGTCCCAAAACAAGGTTATCATTTCCAGTAATTGTACTACCTACCTAAGATAATAAATACCCTTCCAACTTACACTATATTACACAAATGTCATTACTTTTATATTACACAATACTGATAGGGGTATTTTCGTCTTTTTTACTACAACTCATTATAATACTAATATTAAAAAATCTACGTGCTAAAAGCAAATGACAATATTGCGCATCGGAACAAAGAGAGTATTATTTTTTCGAAAATAAAATTTTATAAATTATAAAAATACAAAAATATTAATATACGTAAATATAAATCAAATAAAATACAAAAACATAATAATAATAATAATAATAATAATAATAATAATAATAAAACATAGTAATCTGTTTTTTTAGCTAAGTGTCTAATTTTAATTGGAACATATGACAACAAAAAACAACAGCAACATTGTTTCAGAGTTGGCACAGAGCAGCGGTGCTCAATTTTATCATTTTTCACTTTTTTTTTTTTTTTTATATTCATTTTTTTTAAATTGTACAAAAATTCATCCGTGATTTCACGAAATTGTGCCAAATCTCTATATTTCTAAAATTGCGTCAAACTTCCTTGTTGTTTCATAAACTCTGCGTCTAATCTCTCGGCGGTTCTTATTTAATAGTATTTGACCTAAATGCGCTTAAACTATGAAGGAATTTTTTAATATCAATTTTTAAAGCCTTAAAATTACAAATATATTTATTTTTCTTATATTTAGACTAAAAAAAATAATAAATATACTAAAAAATAGTTATTTTTCTCAAATTTTAAGAATTTATTTTTACTATTTTTTCAAGCTAAATATAAGAAAAATAAATATATTTATAATTTTAGTAGTTTAGATATTGACATTCTAAAATTTATTCGCAATTTGAGCGCATTTAGGTCAAATACAGGACCGCCGAGTGAGTTAGATGCAGAGTTCATAAAAACACAAAGGAATTTATAGCAGTTTTAAAAGTACTGGGGATTTGACGCAATTTCGTGAAACGATACGTGGGTTTTAATGCAATTTAGCCTTTTATTTTTAATAAAATTAAAATATTTCCTCCAAACTATACCTAAAAATTTGTAACCACTAAAAAAAACAACCAAAAATAAAAGACAAAGGAACACGCCTTCATCAATTTATTTAATTTAGACAATATAATTACTAACACTTACTAGTTTTACACCTTACACACATGCATGCATGCATGTTTTCATTACCATTTTATTCTTCAATACACTAACACACACACAGATACAGACAACAAAAAACATACACAAACAGACCTTATAATAATTAAATTTAAAAAAAAAAAAAACACATCAAACAAACCAAACCGAACCCTAACAACAACAATATCCTCAGTCATGGTTGCCCCCTGATCCAGCACGTGACCCTGCACGTGACCCCGCCGATGAGCCGGCGCCGCCCGACCTCGACCCCGCAAATGATCCGGCAGAAGATCCCGCCTCCGAGCCGGCTTCTCCTCCGCCACCCGAACTTGAACTTGAGCTTGAACTTGAACTGGAGCTGGAGCTGGAGCTCCCGCCCCCTCCTGAGCCGGACCCTGATCCAGCTCCGGCTCCGGAGCCGCTACCTCCACCCCCTAAGCCAATGCCGATCCCGGTTCCTATGCCGATCCCCAAGCCGCCGCCCAAGCCGCCTAGGTCTAAGCCGAGATCTTTTCGGGCAACTCGGCTTTCGGACATCGGTGTAAGAATTGCTGACGTGGCAAGAAAGAGAAGAAGAACATAGGGTTTGATTGGTTTGGCCATGGTTGAATACTTTTAACTTAATCAAGAATTGCTTCTTGTCTGAATGTATGTATATGAATGAGTGTGTTTGAGTAATATGTGGAAGAACTTACAATGGAAAGGTATTTATAGGTGGTGATGAAGTGAGTGGGGATTGTTTGTTTGGTAAAGTGAGTGTTGACTTTTTTTATTTATTTATTTATTTATTTTTTACTTTATATTGTAATACTTTTTTTCAAAATATTAGCTGTTGTTTACTTGTGAGATTTTTGTAGTAGTTTTCCAATTTCAATTTTTTTTTTAAAAAAAATATTCTCTATGTTTTAACTTAATTGACACATACCTTTTTATATATATATTTTTTAAAAATTGCTAAATCAAAATATACTTAACAAATATAAATAAACTTAATTAACTATATAATATCATACATCATGTAGTAACCACTCAAAACCTCTTTATTTCTATCTCTCTTATAAGAAAATAAATATTTTTATCTTTCTTTAAAACTTCACATCTTTAATAAAATTAGTTTATGTTAATTATAAATAAATAAATGTACTCTTTTTATTTATAGGAAATTTTATTATCTACAAAATAATATCCGTATTGCATTTTTTTTATTGCGATATAATTTTTAAAATATTTAAATATATATTCTAATTCTTCTAATCATATATATATTAAATTTATTTTAAAATTACTAATATTATTAATTACATAAGAAATAATAAAATAATAGAGTATCATAATTAAGTATTTTCAATTAATTAAACATCATTGTCTTAAATACCGTGTCACTAATAAAAAAGTGTCAATTGAGCCAGGGCGGAGGGAGTATTAAATCACATACTTATTTTTAAGGGTAATTATTTTTTAGTTCCATATATAATCATCTTTATCATTTTAGAACTTTAAGTGGACCATGTCTGAAAATACTCTCGTAAGTAAAATTTTTTCGCTAAAATGGTCCTCCGTGCCGGACTCGCCACACTGGCCCACCCGTTGCTAACGTGGTGCTGACACAGCTGACATGTCATCGCCACGTAGATGTCACGTCGGAGAACCATTTTAGCGAAAAAATTTTACTTGCAAAACTATTTTCAGACATAGTCCATTTAAAATCCTAAAAATGAATAAGGAAGTCATATACGAGACTAAAAAAATAGTTACCAAGATATGTTATAAAATTTAAAAATAAAAATAAAAAATCACATGTCGTTGACGTGACATCTATGTGGCCATGATATGTCAGCGCCACGTCAGCCTCATTAGCGCCACGTTAGCCTACGTGGGCCAGTGTAGCGAATCCAGCATCGGATGATTATTTTAGCGAATTTTTTTTACTATGGTACTATTTTTAAATATGATCCACTTAAGGGTGTGTTTTTTGGGGGGATTGGATTTTCAATCCACTATTCATCCCATTTTTTCCTCTAAAAAACATCAAATCAAACACCTATTTTTCATTTTTTAAATTATGCTAAAAATCAATTTTACATTCAAAATATCACATGTTTATCACTTTCTCCATGCCCAAAAATGTGGAGATTGTGGAGTTATTTTTTGCCAGTGACATGTGAGACCGGTGATGCACAAACCCGACCCGCACAACCCGAAACCCGGATCCAGTAACCGTGAACCAAACCCGGTTTTTTTAGGAACCGGCGGTCTGATGCTGAACCGCACCCCATTCGGAGCCAAACCCGGTCCGGAACAGTGATATATATATAAAAGGCTGGGGCCCGGTTTAAGTGTGATACTCTCTCAAACTCCCACACTTACAGATTGATACTTTCTCTCTCCCCGACTCACGATTCCTCTCTCTAAAAGCCCTAACCTGCGACGGCGACTTCAATCGATTTTCCTTGGGTTTTCTCCGGTGATCTGTCCGGCGAAGTGAATGTTTTGACTGAGTTCTTCGACATACAGCCTGTGCTGAGGCTGTTATTCGGTTTGATTTACTGATTTGAGCATTCCTTACAGTGTATTGTGTATATTTTCTGTTTAGGAGAGATTAGACTTAGATCGTTGATGTTTTCATTAGATCGAGGTTTGGTTCGCATGATTGTTGCGTTTTTGTGGATGTCGATTGTGTTTGGGTTGGTGTTGTGCATTACAGTAGGTGTTGGAATTGTTTTTCGATTGGGTAACCTGAGTCCGAGTAGTATCTTTCGTAATATAAAATATTCTTTAAGTTCTTTGTTAAATTCGTGTGTTTCTTGTGAATGTATGGCTTATCAATCTTGAATTTGTAACAACAAGTGGTATCAGAGCTTATAAGCCATTTTTAGTTTACTGGAAAGTTGAAAATCGAGTTTTAATGGTGAACAACTTGTTCTCAGTGTAAAAACCAAAAGTTTTTTTGTAAATAGACTCAAGGTTGTGCGAAATCTTGTTTGATAACATTGTTGAAGTGAAAAAACGTGGTTTTGTGGCGTTTTTTTTTTCCTCTCCACCACTGTAAAGTTTGTTTTCTCCTTGTAAAGGTTTGAAATTAGCCTTGTAGAAGATTAAGAACTAAAACCACCCATATATGGTTGATTTGTATGGTTTCTTTTAGGTAAACCATCAAAACTTTACTAATTTGTGTATTAAGTGCGCAGTGGACAAGGTTTGACAGGTGGAGTGACTTGGATTACGAAAAGAAAGTCAAAGTATTGTTGCGGAGCAAGGAGTGGGTAAAATTTCGCTTTAAATACAAGATGTTAACGTGTTGTTGTGTGTTGTGTTTGTTTTCTTGGTAGTTAAGTGATTTGTTGTGGTTGTGATGTGTTTAGTTGTCAAGTCTTGGTTGAATCAGTTAGATAACTGTTTTTCTATTGGAAATATTAACTGCCCTAAAAGTTAGTTTTCAAAAGAAACTAACTCGAGGATTAGTTGGTATTAATAAGTCAAAATTGAGGTTGTTTGCAAATTCTGGTTTAGGTGAGCAAAACCAGAATTTGCTTGTCCTTTTAAATCAATTTGCGTGAGTCTGGGCTGTTTTTTGAAAATTCAGTGAGATTTTCTTTAAAATCTGAAAACTGGTAAATCAAACATATTTTAATATACAGTTCTTTGATGAAAAAACTGATTTTGTTATTTGAAAACAAAAAATGAGAAGTGTTCTTGTAACTCAAAGATTAATAAAAGTTGTGGAAGTTGATCTAGCAGCTGATATTCCTGCTGCAAAGAGGAATGAGCTGGATGAACTTGCATCATCTTGCATTATTTTGAACTTGGCTGATTTTGTAATAAGAAAATTAGGAGTTTATAAATCAGCTAAGAACTTGTGGGATAAGTTAAATGATATGTTTACTGAAACTTTTCTTCCAAATAGAATACATCTTTTAGAAAAGTTTTTTAGTTACAAATTAGACCTTTCAAAGACAATAGATGAAAATTTAGATGTTTTTACCAAATTAATACAAGATATTAAACTAACAGGGGATAAAACAATAGATAATTACAGCTCTATTGTCTTGTTAAATGTCATTCCTAATTCATATTCATATGTAAAATCAACAATAAAATATGGTAGGGATGTCATTACACTTGATGTGGTTATAAATGGTCTAAAAAGTAAAGAAGTAGACTTGCAACTTTATAAATCTAACAAACAGTCACGTGGTGAAGTCATGCATGTTATGGGTAGATCTCCTTTTAGGCCTAACAAGAATGGTTCTTCTTTCAATAATAATAAGCATGGAAAGAGCTCCTATAATAGTCAAAATAAGAAGAACCTTAGGAGTAAGTCAGAAATAGGTCTTAAACACCCTCTAAGTTCATTAGGAAGTGTTTTAATTGTGGGGATCCCTCACATTATATAAGGAATTGCCCTAAGAAAGGTAGAAGCAATGCTATCAATAATAGCAATATAAACACAGGAACAACCCCTGTGAATGCTACTTTGAATGAGCAAACAAACTTGATATTACATGATGATTGTGTAGGCGAGGTATTTGCTGTAACAGCTGATTGTTCAAACATAACAGATTTTAACAAAAATGAATGGTTGTTAGACTCAGCATGTACCTATCATATGACTACTTTTAAGATTTAGCTCAGGAAATGTGTTGAAACTTTGCAATGTGAAATATGTACCAAATCTGTCAAACAACTTGCTTTCATGTGTTGGTTTGTCTTCACTAGTCTTCGAGGGGAAATGGAGAATGAATTTTATGAAAATTACAAAGGGTTATTTAGTTGTTTTCAAGGTTGTTTTGAGGAATAACCTCTATGTAGTGACTGTTGTGCATGTAATTGAATCTGAAATGTGTGTTAATGCTGTAAAAGACAACACTAAGCTGTGGCATAGAAGGTTGGGTCATTTGAGTAATAGAGGATTAGAGATTTTACAACAATCTGAATACTTTGGGCCTGAAAAACTTTCAACGTTGCCTTTCTGTGAAAATTGCATTTATGGAAAACACCATAAGGTTTCATTTCCTAAAAAACCACTGAAAACAGAATTTTTTCAAAAGATATCTTAGAATATCTTCACTCGGATGTGTGAGGCCCCTCGAGTGTACCCACACATGGAGGGAGAAGATATTTTTTTATCAATAATTGATGATTTTTCCAGAAAAGTTTGGGTTTTCTTGCTAAAACCGAAATCTGGTGTATTTGAAACTTTCAAAAACTGAAAAATTTGAATTGAAAATCAAACGGGAAAAAGGATTAAGTGTTTAAGAACCGATAATGGCTTGGAATTTTGCAATACTTGGTTTGATAACTTTTGTATTGAAAATGGAATTGGAAGACATAGGACAGCCCCTTATACTCCCCAACAAAATGAGATTGCTGAAAGGATGAACCGAACTCTATTGGAAAGAGTTCGAAGCTTACTAGCTTCTTCGGGTTTATCCAAGAGCTTTTGGGGTGAGGCTGTTAAAACAGCCTCCTACCTAATAAATAGATCTCCTTCAATACCTTTATAATGTGCTTGTCCCGAGTCTATTTGCAGTGGTAGGGATATAAATTTGTCAAATTTAAAGGTCTTTGGTTGTTCAGCGTTTATACGTGTTTTAAATGATAAACTTGAACCTAGGGCTGAGAAATGTGTCTTTCTAGGATATCCCGAAGGAGTAAAGGGATATAGGTTGTGATTAAACTCAAATTC